GGAAGGAAGAAAAATGGAAAAGAGAAGAAGATTAATGGTCTTTATTTTCAATCAAGCAAAATGTACGAAACATGACTATTTTACATCAGAAAAAAAGAAAAAGAAATCAGAAAAAAAGATCAAAAATTAAAATATTCCAATGCTTTTTCATTGATATTCTAACATTTGTTCATTTAAAATTCAAAAAATTTCCAATAAAAAAGTTTTTAAAAGTGAAAAAAAAAATGTTGATACTATGGCAGGAAATGATATATTATACCTAATACATGCATATTAAAATCATTTTTTATTTCTTTAATGCTTTTTTTTCACCTTTTTTTTACCACTTTTTTTTTAATGTCACAAATTCATTCCAATTAACCTTTGCAAATTGAAAAAGTTGAAATTTCATTCGTACAAATATTCGAAATTTAAGAATTTAGAATTAAGGCATGAAATATATGATTTAATCAGCGAAAGTTAGATGAATGGATGACCAACAGATGAACAAATTTCAAAAAACGAATTTTAGCAAGTTAGATGAACAAATGAACAAATTTTAACAAACGAATTTTAACAAGTTAGACGAAAAAATGAACAAATTTTAACAAACAAATTTTAACAAGTTAAATGAACAAATGAACAAATTTCAACAAACAATATTTTAAACAGCTGTTAAATTCAGGAAATCCATTTTTTTTTTCCAACATTTGTGCATTTTTAATGCTCCAATTTGTTTTTAATTTTTCAAGTAATATAGTTACAAACAAAATTTTTGCCACATCGGTGAATAAAATTGAAATTTTACGTCTAATTTAAAACAAATACTCTTGAGGGAATTCGTTTATTTGATAATCATTAAAATTTGCAATTTTAGTCCAAAATATTGTTTTAATTTGATTTTGATTTCTAAGTTTGCATCAAATCAAAATTTATTTGATGAAATATTTGCATTCATTTTTCAAAAATAGAAAGACAAAAGCATCATTCTTTTAATATATGAATAATAGTAATTTAAAAAGACACATCCTTAATTGTTTGCAAATAAACAAAAAATTGTCACTGAATTGCTCTAAATGGTTACCGTCATTGATATCATTGCAGACAGCATTTCCAATCCAATTTGCTGTAACAATTATTGGTAATACATTAACTTTATCAGTGCTACTTAATCAGAGTATGCGAAATCGGTAAATTGGATTCCTAATTTGAATTAATTTTTCGATTAAAATCAACAAGATTTTAAGGTTTGAATGAAAAAAAGAAACGATATGAAAATAACGCCAAATAATTCTTAAATAAATGATCATATCATGCATTATGCCAGTAATTTAAATCACAATCACAACTCGTTTAATATTTATAATTGATTAATTTTATTTGTTCATTTATCATTTTTATCAGTCATTAATTTAGAGCAAATCATCTACTAGCAGCATTAGCATTCACTGATATGGCCGTATTCATCTTTATGTTACCAACAAGCTTATCAGCATTACAACGATTTTATGAAAGCACAACATTTCGCATAATTTTTGCGCATACAAAAGCACATCTTGCAGCATTAGCTAATTGGTTTTCTTGTGCTGCTATATGGTTTATTAATTATTCAATTACATTTTGTACCTCAAAGTTTATAAAATTTGAAGGAATTTAAATATTTTTGTTTCAGTTTGTATTATATTTTTATTTTTTCATATTTTTAGGATTGTACTTGCAGTATCTGTCGAACGATTATTGATAATTAAATTTCCATTCAGATCACTGAAACAATATCATGTGAGTAATTTTAATAAATTTCAAAACAATTCCTTCAATAATATTTGATATATATCGGAGATTTTTGGAATTAATTCCAATTTAAATTTTAATGAGATAAAAAAATAAAAGAACAAAGGATTTCTGTGACACAAAGAAGTATTCAACTATAATATGACACGGTAGATACGGTATTAATGTGATCAATAATGTTTCCTATTAATGACTTTTATTACCATCTATCATTTTCCTATCCTTTTTTTTCTTTTTACAGGCAGTGGAATCAATCATTATTATAGTTGCGATACTTGCACTCACATTAATATTAACAGGGTTAATTATCTTATTCGTTACTGTACCACAAAAAATGTTTACAGTATTCCCACTGGATACTGTAAACGGTATTCTACCGAATGGTTTATTGTGGTGTAGGAGGAGTACTAGTTCTTTAAATTTACCAGCAATTTATTCTATGGCAACACTTTTATTGCTCAATTAAGGATCAGATATTCCGAATCATTCATTATCCGTTTTAATAGTAATAATGGATGGAATTACACGGAGTGATATAATGATATGGGTACATACGATATATACAAATACTGTAAATTTTATGAGTGATACCGTATGATGAATAGTCATAGGGAATTTTTTTGAAATTTTCCAATAAAATGTCTAAATAATTTTTAGTTATCATCATTTTTCCTATCGCTGTGCTATTCTACTGGTGTGCAATATGACACAAGTATATATGAAATGTTTATCGGTAACCTGGAATTGGACTAAATTCGGTTTAGTACCATATCATCAACCATCCAATCAATTTATTTTTTACATCAATACAAGTGTTATTGCAAATGCTTTTCTTGGCGTTATCATTCCTGTATTTATTGTTGCCTTTCTTAATGTTTACTTAATTCGTTTAATACAAATTCGAACTCAAAAGGTATTGTTTGTAATTATTTTTCAATTATTACATTTCAATTCCAATTCTGCGACTAAATTTAACTTCCTTTTCTTTTTACAAAATGAATAAAATAATTTGAGAAAATAAACTGAATTCTTTTTCATTTAATTTATCTTTATGATGAATTTTAGTGTAAATAATGATTAGTGTTTGATATATGAGCAACAAATTTAAGCTTAAAATTTTATCAAAGAAAAAAACGAGAAATCCAAAGAAGAACGATTTTGAAAGTTAATTAAATTTAAATTGATTTAAATTTTTGAAATATATGTAATATATTTGAATAAAAATAACTTTGAAATTTTCAAATATAGCAAACGATAGGGAAGATTTTTTACCATTTCGGTATAGTTTAATTCTACTCGAAATAAGATGGTAAGAATAAAAACAAAAAAAAAAAGAAAAAAAAATGAAAAAGGATGAGATAAATGTTCACCCGAAATCTTCGTCTGTTTTTCAAAACAAAGCAAAATTTAGATAAAGTATGGGAAAGAGCCTATAAATATTTAATTAATTAAAAATTGATTAATACAAAAAAGAAATTCTAAGCTATTAAAGCATGAAGCTACAAACAAAATTTTGAGCTAAACTCAAACCTCATTATCACAATCAGTTAATTAATTCGGCATGTCGCCCGATAGTGACACAATTAATTGCATTCATTTCTCTCAAAAAGCGATTTTTTTTTTAGAGTTAATTTAAAATTTTAAAATTTATATGGCAACTCATCTTGTTAGTTACTCATATTGATAAAAGTCAATAGTTGGGAGCATTTAATTTTAATCCACCAATGTTTGAAAATTTCAAAAACATTTATTTCAACATATTTCAATCTTCCCGTTATCATCTCATTTCAATGCTAAAAGTTGACGATAAATTTTTTATTTAAAATTTGCACAAATTTTCACTTCTTTTTTTTTTCTTTTACCACTTCAGTTTATTCATTTTCTTACTTTTTTTTTTTTTATTAGGCCAAAAATGAAGAAACATTTCTTGGACCTGCATCGGGCAATTTTTGCGAACAAGAACGAAAAATGACAATAACAATTGCAGCGATCGTATCATGCTTTACCATAACACAGTTACCATCTGCATTATTATTCCTTTACGAAAAATAATTAGTGATGCAAAAACGGAAGCATTTGCTAAAGTATCCTGTATTACCAATTCTTTGGTACTTACCGGGAAAATGTTGAATGTTGTATTATTCTGTTTAACGAGTGCTACTTTCAGGTAAATTATAATTGTAGGATTATTTTTTCTTTTTTGCAATTAAATTAGTATAAATTTATAAATTGAAATAAGTTATTAAGTGATAAAAAACGTAGAATCGATTACTTTTAAATTTCAACAAGTATTGACCAATCATAATTATTCATAATTTTTCATTTATCATTATTTTATTTTATTTATCTCGGAGAGAGAGAAAGAGAGAGAGAGGGAGAGAGAGGAAGAAAGAAAAGCATGTAAAAGGGAAATTTTCAATAATTTTTTATTGTTTTTTAGACGAAAGGTTTTTTCCACCGTTTACATTTGGTATCGAAAGTTCACTTGTCAGCAGAAGAAATATGTGCAACATATTAGCAGTCGTTCAGCTACTCAGAAATCGTCACTTTTCAGTATGACATCATTTAAAAATCAAAAATTTCACCGATACTCCAGTAATCGAAGTCGATCATTAGCAAAAGTAAATGATAAAAGTGATATTGATCTCGTGACAATTCATGGATGACAATTTCAATATTCTTTATGATTACAATGAATGACTACCACAGCATATATATTCATTAATTAATTGTATCAAATATTGATCTATAGGGGGTAGAAAGTTTCAAATAAAATATATATTTTAAAAAAAGGGGGAAAAAAAACAAGGTTTCATTTTATCTATTACTGGCACTTTTCTTTCTTTCATTTTTTTTTTTAGGAAAAAGAATCACGACTATTTCAAAACAGCAAAAAAAAAAGAAGAAAAAAGTTTTTCGTCCTTACTTACATATTTGTAAAAATGAATAAATGAAAATAAATTCTTTTGAAATTCCAAAAAATAACCACAAATTTAAGTTTTTCCCTTTCTTTTTCCTTTTTCATCTTTCCCTTGTACATTTCCCCTTTTTTTATTTTCTCTCCCTTTTTCAAAAAAAAAGTGATGAAAATTTGTTTGCAAGCATGATCGATCATTTTTTCCATAAGCAAATTGAAATGAACTGAAAAGATGAAAAAAGTGAACTGAAAAGATTACTTGGAATTGCTGATATTATCATTTATCATCAAAAATGATAAATGATAATATCAGCAATTTCAAGTAATGCAAATAAATATATGAATTAAAATAAAATTAATTAATTTTATGGAATAAAAAGCAGATAGTAGATGTTGAAACTTGAAACTTATCTGATATACCGAATTATGAATAGATATAACAAATGGTAATTATATTTATTCTAACCTGATTTCATCATAATAATTCATAATTCAATAAATCAATTCATCCTTTTATCCTGTCCACTTTTTGTCCATCCTTGTCTTCTTCCCTACTTCTAACATCCTGAATATGGATTATACCATTCTTCTTCGCTCTTCACATTTCATTTATCAACGACCGCTCTAGTTTAAAGAAGTTTCACCCCTAAACTTCGTAAATTAATAATGAAATAATTTCTAAAAATAGAAATGAACAAGTTAAACAATTTCCTCCTTTCAATAATGTCAAATTTCAGAAAACAATTAAATAAAATTTCGTCTAAAATTTTTTCAAATTATTTGAATTCAATGTAAAGAAAAAAGGAAATACAGATATTACAATTTTTTTTTTAACTATCATTTCAAAATCTTTCCTTCCAAATATAGGAAAAATCAAATTGAACAGATATCTTAATATCATTGGAATTGTTATTTTCATCTAATATTTGAAATTTTTTACTTAAATATCTCCGTACACTATTTATTCCTTCCTTTTTTCCCCCCTTCCTCTCTCTCTCTCTTTTGCTTTCTCTCCCTTCTTCTTTCTTTCCTTTTTTTTTCTTACATTACTTTGCTTATATCATTTGTAAAAGTTTTCATTATTACCAAATTCAAAATATTTTCTGTCCATGTAATTTCATTTTAAAAAATTGAAATCATAATTGCTACTGTTTTGATATCACTCTCTCTCTCTTTTTGCTTTATTTCTCTCTTCCGCTTTTTCTCTCATTAATACTTTTTTTTTTGCTTTTAAATTATCCATTTGATAAAGTAAAACTTCAATAAAATTTACTGTTTTTGGCAAATAAAATAGCGCCCAATGATTGACGTACTATTCATAATGTTTTTTACAGGCACTATCTATCTGTCTGAATAAATTATCAAAAATAAAAATTAAAAAAAAAAAATAATAACAATTTTTCTAAGAATGTTTCGTATTAACAAAATTTAATCTTTTTTTTTTATTTTTGACTGCAGTAATTAAATTTATTAAACTTAAAAGAATTAAAACCACAAAATTACTTTTTATAAATTATTTCGTATTTTTTATTTTAAGTAAACAAAAAATATTGTCATTTCAAATGAATTTCTTCCTTTACTTTAAATGCTAAATTTATATGATCAAATCATAATTTAAACATTATATGATATAAAAGTGCTACTGATAAAGGTGAACTTTCTGAAAAAAAATATCATTAATTGCAAAATTTTAAATTAATTGTCATTCATTGCATTCCATAAAATATGATTCTTTTCTTTTTCTTTTTTTGCATATTGCTTCATTAATAGCGTGAAATTATTGTTACAGTATTCCCCTTTTACTTAATCTTTTCATTTCCAGTTCCAGTGATTTCGAATTATGTGTTCATGTTAGTTGTATAATTAAAATATAAATTGTTTGCTATCATTTTTTTGCCTTCAATACATTTAAAAAAGAAACATTTAAAAAATAAAATCTATTTATGATGAAAAACTTCAAATTTATCGGTGTTTTTTTAAACTATGCTAAAGGCAAGAACAGTGAATAAATTTAAGAAACTGATAAAACGAAAATTAGATTATTCTTATCAACAGTTAATGATAAGCTGTTTATACCACATATTGGAAGAGATTGAGTTATGCAAAAATTTGACAGACAGATAAGAAAAATTTGAAATTATGAATATTATTGCAATATTAAATTACAAAACAATAACATTTTATGATTTTGTTTGATAAGCCTAAAAAGTTTTTTTCTTTGATTATCAATTTGGAGAACTGTCATATTGTCATAATCATATAAGCCAAATAGCAATGAAATGATAAATGATTAGATGAAAATGATGTATTAAAAAAATAAAAAATAAAAAGGAAAAATAAACAGAACATGAGAATAATGAAATGAAAAGGTGCAACATTTGAAAATGATATTTTAATGGAATAAATAAAAAGTGCAAACCAGTTTGTCAAATAAAATGGAACCATCTGATCAACAGATAATTCAATCATTGGAATTTCATTGTTCAAAATATATTAATTGTATAATAACATATCAACAACCATTTGTATCATTTTTTAATTTTTTTTTCCTTTTTCAAATTCTATTAATTTAATTTAATGACAAATATAGTTGCGCAATTATTAACTTAATATGATTAATTTTTAATTAATTATTTTTTAATATGTTAAATTTTTGCACAACATCATTTCTTATTTTCATGTTTCTTTTTTTCTTTTTATTTCAAAAAAAGGTTTTTTCTTTCTTTAATTTTCAATGTTTTTTTAATTACAGTGATTATTTAGAGAGATCAAGAGAAAAAGAAAGAGAGAGGGAGAGAGAGTAAGGAAGAAAAAGAAAGAAAAAAGAAAAGAAAGGAAAGGTATAAAGAAAATGAATTAAAGAATGAAATTATGTAATTTAAATTTAATAAACAAATGTCAGAACAATTCATATTTTAAAAAGTATTAAGTTAAATGAAATAACAAACTAAATAAATGATATTATACATTGGATTATTTAACTTTTATTTTTAAATTTCACACTATTTATTGTATTACCATAAGACAAGAGAGGGAGAGAAAGAGTGAGAGAGAGAAGGAAGAGAGATGAGAATTTTTCAAAGATAATATTAGTACACAGAAGAGAGAAAGAACAGGTTTGCTCATGGAAAACCAGTAATTAATTATCCCATATTTAAGTACTTGGATATTTGAATTATAGTATTGAATGTACGAGATATGAGCTATTATCATAATTCTTTATCAATTTTTCTTACCAACAAATTGTTGAATAAAATTTATTAATTGTTATAGAAAAGTGAAATTTTCCCTTTGATCATTATACTTTTTATTTATTCATTTGAAACAATAATATTAAAACTATGATGAAATCTTCAAGTATTCTTAATTAACTCATTCAATACTTGTATTGTTTAATTGTACTGTTTGTTAACATTAGTAATATTGGATACTTTTGTCTTCCTCGTTTTTTTTTTTTTTTTCAACTAAATATATCGTTATCATTATCATATTATTATTAATACCCAGGATTATAGTTATTCTTTTTACTGAATATGTTCGTTATCATCATCACTATCATCATTTACGCCAGAAATTAATGTTTTCTCATTTATGAATATGTTAATCCATACCGGAAGCTGATGTCCTCTTTTTTTACGGAATATACCGTTATCATCATTATTATCATCATTACTAGAAATTGATGTCCTCTTTTATATAGACGACATATATATATATATATATATATCGTTATGTTAATCTTATTCTGACAATACGATTGCTTTATGGATAAATCATAAGAGAAGGGAATAATGAAGTATTGGAAAAGGAACGGGAAGAAGAAATGAAATTAGAAGATAGATAATCTTAATCATTTTCAATCTTTTTCTTCTTTGAATCAAATATTGCTCTAAAATTAGCATCATTGTTTCAATTCGTATAATTTAATCGAAATCATTATGATATGAATATTACCATTTTTTAATTTTTTAATTTATTTAATTTCAATTTTTACCATTAAATTCTAATTTTCTACTAGATATATTTGTTATTGATTAAGAATAATTTTCTTAATAAAAGATCAATTTATTGCTATCATTATTCATTTTCAACTATCACTATAAATATATCATATTTATATATACATATGGGTGCATACTTTTACACTAATCATAGTTTGACACCACTTAACACCTTAGTACCACATGTTCCTCATTCTTTTCGAACATTATTGAACAAATCAAATCATCTCCCATTTATACACATCGATACAGCCGAACACACACACACACACACACACACACACACACACAACACACACATACACAC